TTTTTTTGCACACTTCAAAGGTACGTCAATCCCCAAGCACCCTTTGCCCCCATCACCTTCATACTTCTGCTGAAAACTCTTAAGACCAAGCGGGAAAAACTGAACCTACGGATTTTCCAAAAGTCTAATGGTGTGGGCGTGGCTAGGCATCAAACTTTGACCTGTCACCACTCCATGCTTTTCTATCAATGCTCCCAAATTGACTCTTTTAACCTAATTAACATGAATCTGGTAAATAGCAGTAGACATGTTGGGGTCACTTGGTGTCCAGTACTGGCAGGTTTCAAAAAAGGGCAAGGCTTTGGGGGCATGGCGATTTTTGACATCATGCCATAGAATTACATTTGCCTCTCATTTCCTCAATTCTGATGCTATCTGTCCAACAATTCAGTTGACTGATACAAATTCAAACCACAATAAATATTACCCTAAAAATCTGGTGGGCGTGGCTTAGTTTCTTCACTAGCGCCCCCTAGGTCCAATGAAAAATGTCAGCCCTAAGTCATGCTTTGACTGAGGATTGTGAAACCTTGGAAAACTTATGAAATGTCTTAGGACCTACAAAAAACTCTTGGAGCCATGCTCCATCCACGGGAAGTCAGCCATCTTGGTCCAAGTACGCCATTTTGTGTTTGTGGGAAACTTCAAAGGTACGTCAATCCCCAAGCGCCCTTTACCCCATCGCCTTCATACATCTGCTTGAAACTTTTAAGACCAAGCAGGAAAAACTGAGCCTACGGATTTTCCGAAAGTCTAACGTTGTGGGCGTAGCTAAGTCTCAAACAATGACCTGTTACCGCACCATGCTTATAATTTCAGAGCTCCCTATTGGACTCCTTTCATTTATTCAGCAGCAATCTCTGCCAAATAGCAATACAAAAGTTGGAGTCACTTGGTGTCTAGTACTGGCAGGTTTCAAAAAAGGGCAGGGCCCTGGGAGCATGGCGAAATTTGCCATCACGCCATGGAAATACGTTTGCTTCTCATTTCCTCAGTTGTCATGATGTTACCAAAAGATTTCTGGTGAGTGATCCTAGTCTGACCCCCAATATCAATAGATGTCATAAGCTGTTGGGCGTGGCCTTTTTTCTGAAATAGCGCCCCCTACAGCCATTAAAATTCTCAGCCCCAAGTCATGCTTTAACTGAGGATTGTGAAATTTTGCACACTTATGTAGAGTGCCTGGGCCTACGAAGAAGTCTCATGGAGCCATGCTCCATATCCCACAAGAAGTCGGCCATTTTGTTCCAATTACATTAGAGTTTCTTTCGAAGCTGGAATATTTTGCTAATGTAAAACATTTTTAGTGGGGACTGTTGGCAGGCTAGGAGGAAAGTTTGAGTCAGACTGAGGTGACAGCTGACAGTGATCGCAGTTGGGCGCTCGTGCGCCACCGGTTGCAGGGCGATGGATTGGGAAAGCGTTGGGGATGGAGTGGAGGGGGTGCGGAAGGAGGGCGAGCAGCTTCGCTGCGAGGGCCGAACGACGCTGCCTGCAGCTTTAATTTACCTTGCTGCTGACAGTTTCGTTCGCAGCGTCAACTCTGAGGAAGTTCGCAGCCGGGAACGAAACTGCCAGCAGCAAGGTACAAAAGAAACTTTTTCTGTTTTAAAAAAGAACCAACAGTGCACCTTAACACTCTGACGCCCTACACCCCACTGATTTGTGAAAGTTTCTGCCACCTTGTATCCCAGCAGCAGGCGTAAACTGGATTTGTCCAGGACTCTTGTCGTCCCCCTTCCCTCTCACCTCTTACTGAATCGAATCATGGCAGGTGCGCTTTCACGGTGTGAAACGCATCTGAGTCTCCAGGAAATAACTGTAAGTGAATGGATTGTCCTCTGGAGTGGAGGAGAGCTGGCTGATTGTGTGTGTAGGTAGGTCTCAGAGGGTCATTAGGCGAGCATATGGAGCGTCTGCTGGTGATGGGGACCAGAAACTAGTCTGACTCAGCACTCGGCCGGCTGAATTACAGCTGCAGGCTCTTCCTCTTGGCTGTTCACGCACGCACACACACACACACACACACACACACACACACACACACACACACACACACACACACACACACACACACACACACACACACACACACACACACACACACACCAAGCGGAGAAACCGAAGGGCCTGGTTTGTTTTTCAGCTCTCTTTGGGACCAGAAACAGTAACTATGGACACCTGTAAAGCCTCTCATGGGGAGGGGTTGCTGGTCTTTAGTGCTTTGCTCAATGGCTCCGCAACAGTAGCTGATACACACTCAAACAATACCTCAAACATAATAATCAATTTCCTTCTTCATTATTTGGGAATTTCCTGACAAACACGTTTGTGTCTTTATGTCCCATTTTTCTTCTTTGGAATATTGTCTCTGGATGTTTTTTTCCTCCAGGAGCAGAGGAGAAATGGGAGAGGGGAGAATCCAGAGGAGCAGGAGACGATGAGGCTTCTGATTGCCATGTTGATTTATCGTCATAATCAAGCAGCTTATGACGACTGATGTGTCACCACCTTCAGGTGTGTTTCAGGTGAGACATGCTGCTGCCTTCAAACGCCAAACTAATCCACGTGTCGAGCATTGGCGGAGCTTCAGGCCTTATTCTGAAATTGAAATAAAGTCTTTGAACTGCAGTTGTTTTGTTTTATAACAAATTATTTTGTGATATTTGACTAAAAAGACAATAATTTCTTTATTATTGTGTCTTTAGTGAGGACGAGTCAGCGAATGTTGCTGCTCATTTGAATGCCGCCCCTTTCAGATTTGTTTACATTTTATGTTAAAAGGCTGATAAATCTCTGATTTAAAGTCCAGTTCTCTGTTTTGTTTGTTTGGGTGTGTTCGGGCTGGAATGCAGATTGTCTGTTTGATCAAAGAAACTCTAACCTGCTATTTTTGTGGCTTGTTTGCACAATTTTGTAACAGAAAACAACAAAAAGGTTTGCAGCAATCAGCTGGTGGGAAGTTTTCTCCATTTCAGAACAAAAACCGATCAGAATCAGACTAGAATCTTGTTGCAGCTGCAGAACCAGAGGTTTGGATGATACCAGACAACGTTTGGTTCATTAAAATAAAATGACTCACAGCATTAAAGGTGGGACAGTGGCAGAGGAGTTATGCCTGCCACGTAATCGGAAGGTTGCAGGTTCGAGCCCCATCTGTTGCAGTTGTTGTGTCCTTGGGCAAGACACTTAACCTGCCCTGCAGTGCAGCTGTGGCTACATTGTAGATCCTCGCCACCAGGGTGGGGTGACTTAAGCCGGGCGGACACTGTGCGACTTTTTCACTCGTAGCACTCAGCTTCAGCTCAAACTGTACGACTTCCTCGCAGGGCAGATCTCACGAGTCATGTGCTCACACTGTACGTCTGGTAGCAACACGTCGGCCCTAAAAATATGCTAAAAATAGCAGTTTTTACACGTCAGACTTTTTTGTCTTGTTTTGCCTGTTGTCCTTCGGGAGTGCTGCAGGAGGACACACAGGGATTTATGGGGGTTGGATGAGGAAAACGAAATAAAGAAAGTAAATCTGTGTTTAGTGATCAGTTTAGTTTGACACGAACACGACAAACACGCTTTCTTGACAATCTTTGTGAGTAAAAAAACGTGTAGAAATAAAAATGAACAACGTGTGTTATTGGGGAAAAAGCGGGCGAGCGGCCTTGATGCAGGATTGCGCATGCGCCGTGAACGGTTCTGGTACTTTTTGGGTCGCAGCGCCTCTTCAACAGTGCGATACCCTCACGAGGGACGAGCAAAATATCAAACACGCCAGAAGTCCGTCCGAGCTCACGATTGCTGATGGGTAGCTGGTCACGTGGTGTTAATCGCCGCTCGTAACCCCCTGTACACTACACGACGCTCAGCGCAAAACTCGCCCCGATCTCGTGGATTCTCGCACGAGTGGAAAATCGGCTCAAAAAAGTGAAAAAGTCACACAGTGTACGCCCGGCTTTACAGGTTGTGATGTAAAGCATCTTGGGGGGGGGGGGGGGGGGGGGGTTGTGGAACCCTAGAAGGCACTATATCGAATACAGGCCATGTTTAAACCATTTATAACCCCCAGGCCCTCCCACATTCCCCCTTCACTGATCTCTACGAGTCGCTTTGTGGCGATCCTGCACCAAGAGCTGAGGATATTGGCACAGACGTTTAGGAATTAATCTGTTTTATTTGATTTGATCTTGTTTCATGAGTTTTGTTTTCTTTTTACCTTGAAAGATGCTTTGTTCTCGTCTGTCTGGACTCCTGCCGGGTTGTCCAGCAGGAAATCAGATGTCCAGGAGCTCCAGACTCCAGATGCAAATCTGTTGCATCACATTCATGCAAATGTGATGCACGTTAAACATTCAGTTTCTGACTGTCTGTTTGCTCTGGCAGTGTGATGATGCCCAAGAGCACTTCGGTAGCTGCAGCAGGCTGGGGTTATAATTCTGAATTTGTTCAACATTCTGCCGCGTCTAGAACTGGAGGTCCCTTTTACACTGAGGCCTTCTAGTTCCAGCTGAGTGAAGAAGACCCCCCTCCCCAAACACACACACACACACACACACACACACACACACACACACACACACACACACTCCCGTTAGGTGTTTTGCCCCCATTGTTCTGCACCCCACCCCACCCCCTCCCAGTCTGGACTGAACAAAGCACCGGGGAGTTTGGGGCTTCTCGCACCTTAATGTCACGCGCAGTTTGCACGAACGTCAGCCGACGTTTTTACCGGTGGTGCAGAAATTAACCCGAGAACAATTTACTCTACAACACCCTCATTTTCCTTATGCAGGGTGACACTCTGGCAGGGGAGGGTGGTGTCCTTAGTGGTTGCTAGGGGCAACCATATGGCAGCGAAGGGAGGTGAAGGGCGTCCTGTGCGCGTGCACGGATGCATATGTGTGTATGGGGGCATCCCGCTGTGCGACCCCTCGCGCCAATTCGGTGCCACACAATTGGCTAAGAGAGATAGGGAGACGCGCACGCGCGGGAGTGAGATGGAGTGAGAGAGACGTGTGCTGAGACCAGAGAGAGAGAGAAAGAGAGAGAGAGAGGGGTGGGGGTGCGGGGGGGCTGGTAGGATTTAGCCCTGGCAGCGTCTTTTTCCGTCCAACACAACAAGCTTATTACCGTCCGCTCCGCGCGCCTGGAAACGGATTTACGCACCAAGAGAAGGTTGGTTTATTCTTTTATTCCCTTTTTCCTCCTCTCATCTTCCTTCTGTCCATCTTCACGCCCTGTGGCTCTTTGTGTCTGAAAGCATCTGTTGTATTTGCTGGAGGCTACAGGTCGCGCGCCTAACAGATATTTTCTGGCGGCTGATTGTCCGTTACCGGTTGATCCGGTGGAGGTGCAGGAAGGAGAAGTAGGCTGACGCGGACCAGAGGTCTGGCGTCTGTCGCGGCTGGGGGTCTCGGTTGTGCGCGGCGGCTGCAGAACGCAGAGTGGTGGAGGAGACAATGAGAACCTGAATCAGGTGGTTCCGACTGGTTCTAGAGGTCCAGTTCACAGAAAAATGTCCATTTGGTTAACAATTTGGCACGCTGGTTGGCCTGGGTCCGTGAGCGTTTGTGCGCGGCGTTTCTTCATGATGTGGAGAAACAGAGGCGATTAAACCGCCATGAATGAGTCACGTGGGTCTGATTGAAGCTCCGGGATGTTTTTCTGAAGGTTCCCTGATGTTCCTACAGGAACCGCTCCAGATCTCCGTTGTTGCGCGTCTGTCGCGACGGTTAGATCTGGTTCTGACGTGTGTGTCTGTCATCTGTTCGTGCGCGCGTGCCATCTGGAAAACAACAGCAAAATCCCGAGGCGCGTGAAGTTGTTTACGCACCCGAACAGCAACAATGAAGACAACATAAAATAAAATAAAATAAATATGGCGAGGAAGTTTGCGCGATGCGCGCGCAAAAATGAGGAAAACAAGAAAGGGTTGCAGGGTAATGTGTGTGTGTGTGTGTGTGTGTGGGGGGGGGGGGGGTAGCTGTGCCATCTCTTTATTATAAAGCGCGTGTACAAACGCACACACATGGCGAAAAACTGAATCACAGTCTGCCATGCGCGTGAAAGAAAAAGAGGTCAGCGCGCGGGACCCCAGTTTCGGGTTGTTCACGTTGTTTTTATTGTTCTTCTGAAGGTGTGTGTGTGTGTGTGTGTGTGTGTGTGTGTGTGTGTGTGTGCGCGCGCGCGTGTGTGTGTTGTTAATTTGGTGCTTCGTTTATTTCCCTCTGTGAGTGATTGTGTTGGTTCCGAACTCGACACCAGCCTGGTTCTGGATCAGCTGTTTGGCGGGACCATGTGCCGTCTGGGTCCAAATGTGATGAATCAGTTCCTTCAAGAGAGTCAGCAGCAGGTTCCGTCATCGCTTCATTGTTAGTTTCAGGGGTTGTTATGCCCTGTTCTGCTTTACTGACTCTTTTGTTTTCTTTTTTAGTAAATAAAAAAAAATGTTAGGAAATAAATTTTAAAAAATCCTCTGATTGAACCGTCGCCATATTAGTTTTTTTTAACCCCCAAGATGGAGGGGAGGAGGCATTTGGGGGGTCGGGGGGGGGGGGGGGGGGGTCATTAGCAATGCAAATTAGTGGCTTTTTTTCTTCAAGTGGAGCTCGAGCACCTGCTGTCTCGGGCACGCGCGCGTCGGCTGACTCGCATCCTCCTCCTGCCCCAGGAACCGGGAGCGCGCCTCCCTCTTATTAAAAAGACTTGTGCTCCATTTCTGCAGCGCGCTCATAACTACAGAGCTTTGATGTAAATAAAAAAATAAATGTACGGAAATAAAAGGAGGAAGAATAAACTACAAAAAATGTTAACGTAAAAAATAAATACCTTTTTAAAAATTAAGTAAAAAATAACTTGTCAGAATACAAACATCTCCAGAACTTCTGATCCAGTTCTCGACTCTTCCTTTTTCCCATTCCAGCATGAAGACTTGTATCAGAATTTTTTTTATTTCTCTGTTTTATGAGGAACATTCTCTCCACTGACCTCTGAATCATTCAGGCAGAATAATTCTCCTTGTGGAACACTTCCACCTCCTAAACTCAAGCATCGAACTGAACTTTGACCAGATTCACCGGAGAGTTTTCACATTATCTCCAGTTCCTGGTCCCCGAGTCTCAGGGTTTTGCTCTGATGCCACTGGATTGTTGAAATTGTTCAAAAAAAGGAAACCAATTATGTCTCTGAGTAGAAAGAAAGCAAAGACAATCAGATGTTTAAAGTAAATCAAAGCTGTAAATATAACGAGGATAAATTTTAAACATGGCCAAATTTTTTATATAAAGTTCCATAAAAATAAGTCAGTGAAATTCAAAGTAAATGTTTGTGTGTTTTCTCACATTTAAGCATCCAACAAGTCCAACTATCCACCAAAGTCATAGTCCAGTAAGGCCTAACTCAAGGGATGAGCCAGATCTGAACAGTTTCTTTAAGCTCAGTAATACAAGTCTGTTTCTTTAACTGAGTTGACATAAAACCAACAATTTCAGTTCAATTCAGATTATTTAGTTCAGATGAGAAAACCCAGCAGACTGCATGAAGTTACTGACAAACTGCGACAGAGACTTCACAGCCATCCTTATACTAAGCAAGCATGTAGCGACAGTGGGCAGTAAAACTCCCCACAGAAAAACAGAAAACAAACCGCTGGTATCTGACAACACAACAAGTGGAGGACAGACAGCCAGATCTTCAGAAACGAAACAAAATAAATAAATAAATAAAACAATCCTAAATTTGATGTTTAACATAAATTTAGCTCGTAAAAAATAAAAGTGAATGAAAATCTTAACAGAGAAACGGTGTGGCGTTTAAGGAATTCACCCACATGTCAGACTTTCCATTGCTGCCTGGCCAAGATGCCTTCAAGAACCAGAGGACAAAACCCCAACTAATAATTTGCTTGTCAGATCAGTTGACCACAGACTGAGAAAATTTCTTGGTTCCACTATTTTAAATATCTTATAAAATTTCCAAATGTTATATTTAACTTTAAACGAAATAATTTAATGTTTTATAACAAGATGTAGTTTTGATTGTTGACTTGATCATGTTAAAAGTTTCCTCTTTAATCTGCGTCTGAACGCTGAATCCCAGTCGGCCCTAATGGCCGCATTAATGAGCAAAACTAAGAACCGGAGATGAAACGAATCAGGAGAACGGAAATCTGTAGGTGGATCCAGATGAAGATGTTAAAACAATAAAAGGAAGATGAGGAGGAGGCTTTAAAGAGGAGCATTATGGGAAATAAGTGATGAGGAGGTGAAGGACAGAAAAAACAAGGAAAAAGGGGGAAATGAAGGAAGAGAAAAGGTCTAAAAGACAGAGGGATGAACCGGCCACGTGTTCGTTTGTTAAACAAAATTCCAAGGAATTTGTTTCTGGATGGGAATGTGGTGTTAGCTGACAGAGCACAAGAGGAAAACTGTTTCCTTATCTCATCACATGTGGATCATGAGGGCAGTTTTATACTACAGCTTTGTCAGAGTTTGCATGTGAGTGTGCACGTGAACTCTTGACCCCGCGCTGCACTCCAGTTTAAACTCAATCGGACTCATTTCTGAGATTCTTTCTCTGAACAGACAGTTGTCTTACATAATGGTGCCGTTTTTGTTTTAATCACACATGCGTTAGCGCGCTGTAGTAAATAAAAATTGATTGTTAACAGCTCTAATGCATCACCACACAGCAGTAAAGTAGTTCTGGCAGGGAGCAGAGGCCTTGTGATGTACTCTGTGATGGATTATGCTGCTCCAGTTGATTTTCACGCTGTAGGGAAAACGGATGAGACCTGTGGCGGCCTGAAAGGTTCCGGACCGGGAGAGCAGTCCGAATTTATGCAATGCGACGAGGCTTCAAACCGACCGGACTCATCCGTGTGTCTCTGCTGGATTCTGAATCACAGAAGAGTCTACAGAAGATTAACAGGAATTAATAATTCATCTGATATTTCAATCAATCAATCAAGCTTTATTTACGAAGCCCTTTTACACGCACGGAGGGACCAAAGTGCTTTACATACAAAACCAAAGGCATTAAAAAGCATAACTTCAATAATAAAAGATAAATAACCACAAAAGGCAAATGCCAGTGATAAAACATCCCGAAGAACTCTGCTCATTCAGGAATAAAAACCAGCTTAATAGATGCGTCGTTCAAAGAGACGTAAAAATCCACGGCTGCAGCCATTCTAACAGTTGAAGGGAGATTGTTGCACAGTTCTGGAGCAACAGCTGAAAAAGCGCCGTCTCCCCGCCCGGGTCACACGGCGAATCCTGGGAACATCTAATAGGGTCAGCACGGTCGAGCCCCAGTAAGTTAAAGTTAAGGTCCCATCAGGTGTCATCACACACACACTGATGTGTGTGCGACATTTGTTCTCTGCATTTGACCCATCCCCCGCAGAGCCGTGTCCAGGACTTTTAAAATGGGGTGGCCCATGTGGGGCACTTGTTTATTCATGGGTGGCACCAATGGTTATGCTTATTTATTTATTTACTTTCTAGTGAATTTTTGAGTTTCTCATTGCACAATCACCATTTTTTCCCCTCTTCATCTTCTACTTTTGTGGTGGTTAGCAAGTCACTTCTTGTTGCATGACTGCCACCAACTGGAGTTGAGTGGGACTCTAAATACTATGTATGTGAATATGAAAAAATATTAAATAATAGTAATACTACATGCCTGGGCTAGAAAACAAGGTGAAAGGTGCATGCAACCGCACACTATTTTTGGAGTTTACAACCCAAGAGTTTTGTCGACAACGTAAAGTCAATTTAAACTGGAACTTAGTGGGGTGGCCAATCAGATTCTAACGGTGGCATGTGCTACCCCAGGCCACTCCCTGGACACGCCCCTGATCCCCTGGGGGAGCGGTGAGCTGCAGACACGGCTGCGCTCGGGAACCACTCGGCATTCTAACTCCCCCAATCCAACCCTTAAATGCTGACTGTCAAGCAGGGAAGCATTGGGTCCCAATTTTTCAAAGTCTTTGGTATGACCCAACCAGGAATCGAACCCTGATCTCCCAGTCTCAGGGCAAACACTTTACCACTAGGCCACTGAGCTGCGTGTTCACATCTGGGCTTTCGCATCCGGGTTGCCACGGTCTAGTGGTCCTCAATCGGCGGCCCACAGGCCGCACCCCTTCCCAAGAAGAAGCCCCGAGGAACCCC